GTGAGACAGTCTTTCAAGGGGAGAGAAAAGGCTCTGATAGAAAATTCGAACTTTAATCCACCTAAATGTCTCCTCAAATGACTGACTTTATCCCCAAAGCATGTGTTTTGCATTGCAAGATATGGGAGAAGGTTCAGGCAAGCTTGTGTCTTTTCAGCAGGGGATGCAAGGAGAGGAAGAGTTCTAGAAAGAGAGCCACATCCGGCTTTGCTCCACTGAGCTACAGGGCAGGTTTTGCCCCAGCACGAGCAGCGCGTCTGCACCTGGCTACAGAGCAGTTCACCTCTCAGAGCACAAGAGCCACACTGGGAATCAGCCCCTAGCCCCTAGCACAGGGACCAGCCTGGGCCCTGAGGCTCTCAGGACCAGGCAGCAATCTGGGTCTGTTGCCAGAGAACACAGCAGGCTGCCCCGGTCAGCCACCTCCTCCTCAGGGACAGTCTCTGTTCAGAGTGTTCTCCAAGTGCGAGGGGCAGGGTCAGGTCATGGAGTCTGGGGGCCTGCTCTGGAACGGCTCCCACGAGACCCAGCACAGTGGCCCCCCGCCCTCTGGCTCTTCGTCCCGAGACATCACTTGGCCCCGTGCCCTGCACCAGCCAGGGACTGGCTGGGTGGACCACGCCTTCTGCAAACCCACAGCCCCAGGTGGCTCAGCGAGGGGTGGAGTAGAGCCCTGGGCATATAAATACGAACAAACCAGGACGGTTCCTGACCCTGGTTTGCACCAAATGTGGGGAGAGACCCACACATCTCAGCCTACAACCAGGCAGAAGGAACGTCCTTTCCATCTCTCGAAGTTTCAATAATTTGAATCTATAAAACACAGTGACAGCAGACAGATGAACAGGAGGAAAGGCATATAAAGGTCTTCACAAACCATGACAGGTTCTTCTACAGATACGGTCTCTCCCGTAACAGCCCTTAGCAGAGCAGTGGGAGGAACAGGTGAGCCGTCTGTCTGGGCGTGGTGACTCAGGCGTAGAGACATTTAGTCTCCCCTCCTGGGGTACAAGTTAATCTTCTCTGGTTAATGTAGATTCCATGTCTCTGTGTCTCTTCCTCCCCTACCCTGGCGGAACTCGGTCCTCGCTGGCTCAGATACGCTCTGCACAGGAAAGGATGTCACTGGAAGCTGGCCGGCCACATTCTGGTGGGAAGGAGAGAGGAGGAGACCCTGTGCACCCCAACACCTGCAACCTGCATGAGCTCTCCTATCTGAAAAATATTTTTTTTCTTTTCTGTGCCTTAACTGCTATTTTTAAAATAGTGCTTGGATATTAAATACAATATGTTTTTTACGTTAAGAAAAGTAAAAAAAATAAGAGCAAACAATGCACCAACCGAGGCTAACAAGGTTGGCATTTTGGCAGAGAGTTTGTTTCCTGTGCTCTCCTTGCTTTGGGGTTGAAGTGCTGGCTTTAGGCCATTGCGCCGTTGTCCTTAGACTGCCCGTGCACAGGGGAACCTCCCACGGGGCTGCGCACACAGTACATGAGTTTGCTTTGTATGTTACAAAATATTCCCTTACTGTACGTATAATCTTTCAATCAGACAAAGATTGGTCGTCACTCTTTTTAAGTGTTCAAAACCAACTCACACTGGCGGAGTTTACTGACGCGCGTACTCCACTAGCTCAGGATGAGGCAGGCTTCAGCTGTGCCTGGACCCAGAGGATAAGAGTGTCGTCTGGTGAGGTGGCAGCAGCACCGCCAGGTGCACACCCAGCCCAGAGCCGAAGGGGGCGGGGCAGAAGTGCAGCGTCCACTCTGGCTGGTCAGAACCTGGTCGCAGGCCTTTGCCTCCTGTCGCTGGGACCATCTGGGGATGACAGGAAGGAGAAAGGAGGTGGATAACCAGAAGCAACAAACGGTGTGCTTTTGCCTCTCCCCTCACTTGAGTATTTCGGCGATTTCACATTTTTTATCATACATTGTGGTAAAATGAACACCTGCATGCCAGAAGGTTTTTTTGCACGATGAAGATTCTTTTTTAAAACTGGAATCCACAGAGTGGGATCGCTAAGATAAAGGTGGCCACCTCCCAGAGGAAGAGGAGGACTGTTCTCCCCACATTGCAACAGTGAAATAGATCATGAGAAGGCTAGAAAAGATTTTTAAAGTGCAGGGGAGAGAGAGCCACGATCAACACTTTGGAGTACAGCCTGCTGGTCTTCACTTTATGAATCTTAGGATCTAGAGGTTTTAAATAGTTGTAATCCCATATCTGTGCAATTTTATTTCCTGCTTTTGTTTCTCTCATTTCCTTGTTCTTATAATTATTTCATAAGCCTAACTGAGCATAACATGCTAGCGTTGCTAACAAAGCTAAACATAAACAGCTTTCCCTGCATTTAATAATGTTTTCTTAGTGTCTGAAAATCCACAAGTGTAGGAACATTCATAAAGTTCTGAATAAACATTATCAATAATAATGCCTGGCACAAAATATTCTCCAAGCTTGTGGTTTTGTTTGTCTCGTGGAAGGGCTGGGCGGTGGGGGGAGAATGACAAGGGAATGGGGACTCGTCTCTGACACTTACTTGCTGGATCCCATTTCTGAGGTTTAGTTTTCTCAGCCATGAAGTGAGCGTAACCTGAGGGAATGCAGAACTCTACTTGGGCCAGGATTTATAGTGCCCCGCTCACAGCAACCCCAGTCTGGGAGGGAAAATGCCCTTGGAAAAAATCCCAGCGCTTACTAGAGCCCTTGAGCCAATTTCAAAAGGTGCAGGGGACATTCATCTTTTCCTCTTAACCTACTTCTCTCATTTTCCAACTCTCTCCCGTGCAGGGCGGAAGCTCTGGAACGCACACACACTCTTCCCCCTCCCCAGCCCCACAGCCCTCCTGGCGCAGCCCAAGCAGCCCTCTGCCCTCTCAAAACGGGGTCAACCCCAAGCTGCTCTCAGCACAGTCCGCTTTCCTGACGCATGCCCTCCTGTGCCGCCTGGACTCCGGGGAGCAAATGCTTTCACCTCGTCTTATCTCCCCCCACGTAAATCCTTGCTGTCCCCAGGGCCAGGCACCCAGGGTGGCCCAGCCCCCACCTCTCTCCTCCTCTCCCTCTGGGTTGGGCAGGGTCCTTCGTGGGGTGGGCGTTCTGGAGTCAGACGGGAGCAGCCCGCCAGTCCTGGGGGGAATCTGTGTTTCAGGACGGTGAGGAAGAGACACGACACTCACGCCCTCGTGGGGACAGTCAGCAGTTAGCTGCCCCCTGACACCGCCCCCAACCCGAGTGTCAGGCTTTTCCAAAAGTGCTGGGGCTGGGACAGCAGCACACGTGGTCAGCAGTCCAGCTCGGGGCCCTCCCTCCCATACTGGAAGCAAATTAGGGATCCTGGTCCTCAAGCTGAAGCCTGGGCTGGCTGGGGAAGGGGGAGCGTCCCCGACCGGCTTTGAGGACCCCCAGTTACCCGGCTCCATCGGTACCTGACTGGCTGGGGGTGGAGTGGGACTAAAGACACAGTCCTAAGCCCCCTGCTAGCTGACTGAACCCATCTCGGCCAGGGGGACCCCAGAAACACCTTGAAACTGCCTTCCCAGCCATGATGGGATGGAAGAGATAATGCACAATTACATGTGTATGATTCCCCTCATGAATATTCATGACCCCTCCTAGAGCTTGTTGCATATGTATATCTGACCACCCCACTCAGTATAAAATCCTGTTGCCTTTTGTCTCTTCTTGAAAGCACACGTGCCTGGCTTCTGGCTGGGGCTCTGCTTCCCAACCTATTCGAATGACCACCCAACAGGCTGCTACCCTTTATGAGAACTAAAGCCCTCCTTTTTCCAAAGTATAAACCTCACTAACTAATTAATGTGTTTTAGTTAACAGTGTCCTCAAGGGGCCAAAGAACTTCCACGTGTCAATCTGGCTCTCTCGGGTCAACTCTCGCCAACCATGAGCTTTGGGTGGCCCATGATCGTGTGGCCACACGCAGGCTGCTCTCTGCCATAAATCACACTCGCCCACAATGACAAGAGAGCCACAAGGCCACTGTGTTCCAGTCCCTGCACAAGGGCACATTCAAACAAACAGCCGTCTGGGAGGAAGTGTATTTGAAAACAATTTGAACCCTTCCTTGACCTCTCAAAAACATGAAAAAAGGTTTGTGTTGAGGCGGAAAGAGGAAGATGAGTGTGTGTTCTTTTTTGTCGTTGTGGTTGAGTTTTCTTTTGCATTTTACTTCCTGAATTACTTATAACTATATTGAAAACAAGGATGTGTCTCACATTTCTTTGTACCCTAGAGCAGAATGCCATGTAAGTACTAAGGGCTCTGAAGGGATTGGATGACACTGATGTGTTTAACTGCTTTGCTGTCGAGGTGTGACTGACGACAAGAAGCGGTAGATATTCAGAGTGTACAACCTGATGTGTTTGGAGGTTAGTACGCACCCGTGCAGCCACCAAACCATCCTCGTTATCAAGCCCATAAACACATCCGTGACACCTGCCAACGTTTCCTCCTGCCCCTTTGGGTTCTTTCCCCTCTTGCAGTAAGAGCGTTTAGTATAAGATCTACCCTCTTAGCAAATGTTTAAGTATCCAATACATACTATTAATCACGAGCCTCACATTGTACAGCAGATCTCCGGGTATTTATCGTGCATATGAAACTTTGTACCCTTTTACCAACACCTCCCCATTTCTCCCTCCCCACAGACCCTGGCAACCACCCTTCCACTCTGCTTTATGTGTGTGACTATTTTAGATTCCACATGTAAGTGACATCATGCAGCATTTGTCTTTCTGTGCCTGGCTCATTTCGCTTGTATAACATCCTCCAGGACCATCCATGTTGCAGCAAATGGCAGGATCTCCTCCTTTTGCAGGGCTGAATAGTGTTCCGTCCCACGTGTGTGCCACATTTTCCTTACCTGTTTTTCCATCAGTGACCATCTGGGTTGTTTCACATCTTGGCTACTGTGAACAATGCTACAGTGGACATAGGAGTGCAGAAATCTCTTCGCGATCCAGGTTTCAATTCTGGATACATACCCAGAAGTAGGATTGCTGGATCACACGGTCATTCTATTTTTAATTTTTTGAGAAACCTTGGACTTCCATAGTGGATACCAATTTACATTCCCACCAGCAACATACAAGGGTCCCAATTTCTCCATATCCTAAGAGAAGATAAGCAACCACACCATGCCGTGACACACTTGCAGGAAGTTCAGCTTAATGGACGGTGAGACAGTAAGGGAGCTATTGAGAGTTGAGGTGTAAGACTATAAAGATCTTTTCCTCAACCGTGAGAGTATTTATGCGAAGAAATGGACTTAGGAGCAAGAACCAGAGGGAGAACAGATCTCAAATAAACAACCTAACTTTACACCTCGAGGTGTAAGTAGAAAAAGAACAAACAAACCCAAAATTAGCCAGTGGAAAGAAATATTAATAATAAGATTAGAACATAAATAAATGAGATAGAGAATAGGCAAACAATTTTTAAAATGGTGAACTGAATTGTGTTTCTTAAAGATAAACAAAATTGACAAACCCTTAACTAAACTAAGAACCAAAAGAGAGAAAATGCAAATAAGCAAAATCAGAAATGAAAGAGGAGACATTCCAACTGATCCTACAGGAAAAAAGGATCATAAAGAGCTATGAACAATTGCAGGCCAACAAATGGGATAATTTAAAGAAATAGAGAAATTCCCAGAAACATACAATTATCCAAGACTGAACCAAGAAGAACTAGAAAGCATTAACAGAACAGTAAAAACATGGAATAATGGAAGGAATAATATGAAAACTCCGAACAGAAAAATCTAGGATCAGATGGCTTTGAATTCTACAAAACATTTAAAGAAAATTAATACCAATCTTAAACTCTTCCAAAAAATAGAAGAAGAGAAATACTTCCAAAGTCTTTCTACGAGGCCAGCACTCTTGGACTTCCCAGCCTCCAAGAACTGTGAGCTGAATCAACCTATATTCTTTGTAAATTACTCAGTCTATGGTATTCAACTATAGCAACAGAAGATGGACTAAGAACACCATACACAAATCAACTCAAAATGGACTTAAAAATCTAAACATAGACCTGAGTGATTTCTTGGACATGAAAGCAAAGTACCAAAAGTAAACATCGACATGTGAGGTTGCACCAAATTGAAAAGCTTCTGCACAGCAAAGGAAACAATTCACAAAGTGAAAAGGCAGCCTACAGAATGGGAGAAAATGTTTTCAGACCATATATCTGATAATGGGTTAACACCCAAAATGTATAAGAAATTCCTACAACTCAAAAGCAAAATGAAAACAAAACACCAACAAAAATCCAATTAAAAAATGGGCAAGGAGCTGAATAGACATTTCTTCAAAGATGATACATAAAATGACCCATAGGTATATGAAAAGTAGTCAATGTCACTTAGCATCATAGAAATGTGAATCAAAACCAATGGGATATCACCCACACCTGTTCGCTAGGCTACCATAAAAAAGACAAAAAAGGCCGGGCGAGGTGGCTCACGCCTGTAATCCTAGCTCTCTGGGAGGCCGAGGCGGGAGGATTGCTCGAGGTCAGGAGTTCGAAACCAGCCTGAGCAAGAGCGAGACCCATCTCTACTATAAATAGAAGAAATTAATTGGCCAACTAATATATAAGAAAAAATTAGCCGGGCATGTGCCACATGCCTGTAGTCCCAGCTACCGGGAGGCTGAGGCAGGAGGATCGCTTGAGCCTAAGATTTGAGGTTGCTGTGAGCTAGGCTGACGCCATGGCACTCGCTCTAGCCTGGGCAACAAAGCGAGACTCTGTCTCAAAAAAAAAAAAAAAAAAAGACAAAAGACAGCAAGCATTGGTGAGGAATA